TGGAATTTGGGCACAGACTTTAGAGGGGCCCGGCGTTCATGTATAAATAATAACTACAAAATTACTTCAATATATTATATATATATATAATACATTATATATTATTATATATGTTAGAAAAGTGTTCGAGATCAGGATTTAGTTCTGTACCAGGGCTAAAAATATTATGTGGTGCCTGTAAAAAAATACCAAATATGTTATAATAGATCTATTATTTACTATAATCAGATAATTTTTAAAAATTATAAAATGTTACAGATATATTTATATATACCTAATTCTTCATATTACTAAAATAGTATAAAATACTCAAAMTATCATAGTTTTCATAAGTCAAATATTTTAAACCAATTATCTTGGAATTACATAACTTTTATTACACGAAGTTAAATAACTTAAAAACTACTCGTTTGAATTTTGATGTAAATAGGTAGGCAATATTTTCAAAATGGTCATCTGATTATTCTGGTCATAGGGAAAAAAGACTGATGCTTATTTTTGAAAAAATAAGTTATTACCACCACAGTGATAATATACTAGACCTTAATATTTTAAATATAAAATCTAGGTATAATTGAGCATTATAAAAAATATAGAATTTGAATGATTTTATTATTAAAGAAAAGAATTGGAGTAGCATTATACTTGCTAAATGCCTTGTTTATATAATGTATTATCTTGTTATTGGTAGGTATTAGTATTTATATTATGATTACATAAATAGACAAAAAATATTAAACTCATAAAAAATACACTTATTTAAAAAAATTATCAATAGAATACGTGCTTACCTAAATAAATACATACACATGTATTAAATATATAACCATATAAAGTAGTTCTAAGAAAATATTRAACCAATGTGCGTAATGAGTTTCTATTAAATCWTTAAGTGTTRGCCATTTATACAAGTATTTATGTCAACCTAAATCATGATTAATTTTTTTTATTATTACTTTACACGTTAACACGTCATAGCTAAATTGATTGAAGCCTGAAATGTATTATAATTATAAATATCCTATAATATTTATTGGTACATTGTACGTTACCTATATATTCAATGAATGTTATTTTACATACATATACATTTCTTGTTCATGGATGATCACGTAAAAATTATTGATCCGAAAAATAACGTTATTGATTTCCATTTATACCTATTGTCTAATAATTCTAGATGAAACTTTATACACTAATGTCTAATAATATATTGTATTGATGTTTTATGACTTATGAAGTTATGAGTAATGACATTTTTGTTTCTCTAATATTATTTTAAAAACATATTTTGGTTGTAAATACTATAATCTCATATTATTATATTTTTTGAATAGTTAAAAAAAACAATACATAAAACTGTATACTTAATGCATACCTAACCTATATATAGTTGCACATTCGTTGAAATGTCGCATACAACATAGAATTCTATTAATAATAAATATTAAATTAAATTAAAGGTGTTAAAATAATAACTTAACACATAAATGTGTATACCTAAACCTAAGACTCAAATGTTTTTAAATATTTATCATTATTTTTTATGAAATCAAATACAACTATATTATACAAACAATTAAGTTATTTTATTCAAGTATAATTAGTATATTATTAGAATATTACGTAACAATTTACAGATAGTTAATATTAAAAATTAAAATATATTAATAAATAATAATATTATTATTTAGTGAAGCACTGCTAGCGTTAAAGTCACCAAAGAATACACTCACAATAATAATATATTAAGATAGATATAACCATAAAATCATGTTATACATTGATTCAATTTATGATATCTTTGTATAACAAAATTAGTTGTACAATTAAATGGATTACAAATGTTAAGTASAGTCCAACAGTTCAAAATTATAAATGAATGAAAACACGCACAAACAAAATATTAATACAAATTGCTTTTATGGCTGATACAACGTGTAAGTATATTTTAAATGTCAATAAGAAATCTGTTTTTATGTGCTATACTGTAGATATATAGAATAATAGAACGTACAAAAATTAAAATAGGCACAAATCTTGTATTGTAGTCTCTATACCCAACACGTATGTATAGGTATAATAGATGTATATATATAATATAATATTATGTTATACACCGTGTCCGTATACCTACATGGCTACATTGTGTGCAAAACCATCGTTCAATAAAATCAATCTATATATAAACAATACGGTATTTCAAAGCATATTATAATACTAGTTTATGTTAATGAAAAGAAAGATGTATTAATTTATGTTTTAATTAAAACTCGACTTGGCCACCGTATTTCTTAATCACACGAAAACCATAAAATAATAATTGTATAACGGACACCACGTATTTATATTTTATTTTGATGATGATGTCATCGTAAAATTCATTTTTAATCGTGCAGTGATGATATTCGGGACCAAAGTTATAAAGAACTGAATCAGACATTTTTTTCAGTATATTCGAAAGTGTTTCACGTAAACTCAACTCGTCCATATAGGTACAAAATGCAAGCAGGCTGCACTGCTGCAGGCATATTGTAATATGTGTTGCAGTCGTACACTACCTATAGCCAATAGGTTTAAAACCATACGCATTCCCGGTATGTGCCTCGAACGTAGTATGCAGAGTAGGCTCTTCCGGTTACTCTATATTAAAAAGARTAGCTAAGTATGCTTAAATGATATTATTTATGATATCGAGGATCGACGTTGGTATGTTCATGGCGCTTTCATGTAMATACCTACATATTAAATGTTATCGAGAGAAAAAAAATGTACAGAATCTGGGCGATCGAAAGTCGTCAGGCCGTCATTATATTATAGGTACTCTACACATGCGTAATACAAAACGTGTCATTATGATATAGGAACACCGTATACACGTGTAAACTAATATTGGGTGCACTTATGTATATATTATAAATTTATAATAATGATGACAATATATAATAAACTACGTAAATAAACTCRTCAAACTCGGTCAAACCGATCGCGTCCCACGCAAGTGTTCGAAAATAAATTTATGTCTTCGCAGACTTYTATTATTATTATTGTTGTTGTTTCTTCGTTTTTTCTACTCGTTCGCTCGCGCACGGATGCACCTCGATTGTAGTCTTTCTCGTCGTCATACACAAGAAAACGGACTGACCGTCTGTTCGTTAATATATATATATAAACACGTACCTATATAAATGAATAATATGTATTGTGTATACATACAAATATATATATATACATATATGTGTGTATGTTTACGACAATAATAATAACCCACAATGGAGGTCACCCTCTCGGCGTTTGGAAATGGAAGAAGTCACCTATACGTACGTTTAATCGGTGGCGACCGCGACCGCGGTAGTGGTCGGGGACGGTGAGGAGGAGAGTTCGATGCACCGGCCGCCGGTCTCAGCAGCCGCCGCCGCCGTGGATATTATATTATTATTATGCCCGTCGCAGTCTTCGCGTTTACAGGTCAGTTTTTGTAGTTCCGTCAGTCCGTCTTCGCGCCCGCCACGCACTCGCTTACACATTGTCCGTCTCGCGTATTATTCAGTTTTATCATAATAATATCGTAGTCGTTTTTCGTTCCGTTTCTCCCCCGTCAACTGTATCGCGTGTACGGTGTTCTTCTCACACAACGTTCGCAACCCCAAAGATATTAAGTGAGTACTTGTATATAATATTTAGGGTTAGGCAAGATACTAAAAAAAAAGTATGATACATACATTTAGTATATACAAGATACATGATACTTTTATATTTCCAATCGAATTTTATTCTCTATTAAACTTAAAACGTCTATACATAATTCACTATACTGTCAATACACAAATACTTTGAAGTCATAATTATATTAAATAAACAATAAGTCAATATGAACACATTATTAATTTATATTTAATACAGCATCACTATATAATATAAATGCACCAAAATCAATAAATTACATCTTAATTTGTACTTTTATAATATAGTTCATTTATATGTATAATTTATTGGTTATGGACTTGTGGTCAAAAAAGAATAAATAAATAAAATTGGTTATGGTCTTATGGACTTATGAATTAGTAAGTTATCTGTACAAATGTAGATACGTATACCGTGTATGAGCTACGAACATACGGGTACCTTAATTTAATTTTATGTTTTTCAAATTATCTTACAACTTTACAAATCATAAAATTGTGTGGTAAATTTTTTTGTTATCGTTAATTTCAATTCGATTGCACCGGGACAATTTTTCGTAAAAATATCCGTGACGAAATTATCTAATATCGAAAATCAAAATGTCTTGGTACTATTCARTACTATTGTACTATCATGATACAAGATACAATTATTGTATCTTTGATATTGCGCATCCCTGATTATATTATTATCTATCTACGACAGTGGCACCCTGGAGGCAGGTTAGCAAGTAATGTGACTGCATATTGAGACATTGAGTTCTTGAGAGGGGTGGGTATATATTACTGTAAGTGTCACATTGGAGCTTTTAAATTCACAACATAATCTATAGTCTATAATAATTAATTTCCTCTTGAACTACAGTGATTAATAAGTGAAAATAGTTTTTATAAATAAAAAATTTGATGAGTGGGTAACTAACTTTTTTAAACTGCATGTGATCTTAAAATGCCTCTGTRCGCCACCGATCTACATACTTATTATACCTAGTATTCATATATCCGTATAAGTTATAACAACTATGGTTAGGGGCGTTAGGGCTGGGTATCGTGAAAGCGGAGATGAGCTTTTATTCTATTAATATCGTAATTAGACCCTACTTAAGAGAGAATGAATGCCTTTACAGGAGTTATTATTTAAAAACTATCGTGCTGAGAACTCGATCACGCACTACGCTGACAATGATAATAAACGATACCACAAATACTTAATAATATTATGAAAGTATCATGTAAGATATTATGTTGCACATGTAGGTACTTACCTACAACCTACAGCATATACTAAAAACATAATAAYGTAGGTAATATTAATGCACGTGAATGACTTTCGATTATTATTATAGTTTTTAATACATAATATATTATAATTAATTAATTCTAATTCCACGTAATTTTTCAACGTTTTAAACGCTATTTCTCAAAAACTATGTCTAAAACATAACACAGCTATATTAGGTATATTTCAATTGTATTGTGTACGTAACTTGTAACTCTGTCGTCGCAGTAAAGTAGACAATATTTTACACCTACACAAAAATCCGCGTAATATACACATTTTATAACTTATACCTCCATCAAGAACATATTATTTATGATATTTCGGATTCACTGTTGTTCCCAAATGGTAATCACTCATTACCTAGTCATAGTTCTCTATACTCGTAATAATAATAGTATTATAGTTATGTTTGTTAAACTCTTCGAGTACATTGACGTGTGGGTTGTAAACCTCACTCGCACATCATGTTATTTTGCATGTATTATGATATGATGTATGTGTCTTATCAGTTATCTTACGCCCGACAAAACTGACACGCCGCAATAGTATAATAATAACTGTTCTTAACAAATCACGTCACGTCTATTTTCACAAGATTGCAGTCGTTCCGGTGTAAAGTACCTATAGACACACGCGGTGTACACATAAATTTGTTTGCAAGTTCGACGTGTGTGTGTGTAAAACAATCATTTTATATTTTACATCTTTCGATTGGTCTTAAGTACTATTATAGGCGTGTATGAGTATATCCGTTATTCGTGCGTAAAAAATCATTGTTTATATTATATTCATTGAATTATTAACAAAATCGTCCTACCATGACTTGGCAATGACCTTCCTGTAAACTGACCGCGATTTTAAATCAGATTGGTTCCTACAAAYGCGTCTGTTCCATAGAAAATTCACTATAAATAAATTAACAGACAAAAAAAATAATTCCAATAACCAAAACAATAGGATCCAATTAAAACAGCAGGATTTGGATGTATCATAATAATTAATAATAACAATGATATTGTCTATATAGAGTATACAGGAATATTATAGGTATATTGTATAGCATCATTTGYGACAAAACATATTATAATTATTGCAAAGTTCAACACGATTATATTTTTGGAATATAAACAATTATCAATACCATCGATCGATGATCATATTATCCGAATGTCTGATGAATCATTATTCATTATGCATAAGTAATGAGTATGAATAAAAAATTTATCTCATGAAGTATTATATTGTTATATTTTAGTTGCGATGCTTGCAAGTATTATTATATACACGAGACATACGCTACTATCCAAGCGTGGACCACTTATTAATTTCCTTTCCTTCATAATTTTATTGAGACGATATGGAAGTCTATTATAATGCTCGGATATAAAACTAATACATTTTTTTCTTCACATTTTGGTTTTTGCTTCGTGTCCAATCAATGAAACGTGACAAGAGTTATTATAATTTTACACTAACGACGAACGTCCGTATATATCYTTTATTTGACGTAGAAAATATGCTCGTGTGATTTTTAACACGCACGATACATGGTTGAAAAAACAACAGAGGTTTTTTTTAAACTTGTTCTACTCATAGGATGGCCCCGTTTTCATTCAACGCACAACTCATTACAGATTACTCATGGTGCAAAGATGCACATTAAATATAGGTAGTTGTATATCAAGTCCATGTTAATTCAACTGGTTATATACCTACTTATATTTATTTCAATTAATTGATTGATGGTATAAATGGTATCTAGGTTCACTTTCTAAATTTGACCATAATCTAAAGCATTTTTTTTTTTTATCTAGCTAACGATTCACGTCTCGCTATTGATGGGTCAAATTATTTGTTTGAAAATTGCTTATCCAAGAAACGTATGCAAATAATGCATCAAACAAACTGATTAATAGTTAAACGATGCTAGTCTTATTTAAATTACCTATCTGCTTTAATAATATTKTAAACAAAAATTATATGCAATTTTAGACTCTGTTGTGTACGATTGCACTTGGCGTATAATAAAGCATAATTCCGATCAGTAGATACCTAGCTGTTGGTTGTAATAAGCACATTATGATTAAGTTAATACCCAACTGTAGTTTATTTTTATGTTAAACTATTTTTATCAATATTTATTATTTACTTCCGCAATAAAAATTATTCTAAAAATAATAAATTACTAGATGTCATTACCAATATTTTATCGTGATATTATATTTTAGATAAGTACTCGTACTTAAAAAATTAATTAATTTTCTAGTGCACTATTTAAATGTATTTTTTATATTTTATATATTTTCCCTAGCACATTAATGTAAAGAAGTTATAACAGGTAACATTCATTGCGTTACTATTTATAGTTAAATTTTATTTGAATACATTAAGGTATAACAAATTCAACGAAATACGTCAAATTTATTTAATTCAAAAACACAAAATATTTATATTTGTTCTGAGTGATTTTCTAGCTAAATTTACTGCTTAATTACTTAAAATATTATTTTAAAAACAAACAAGCAAGCTTGATTAGAATAATTCTTTTTAAAGTTTTAATGTTATTGAGATCCGGTTCTGACAGATAATAATATAACAAATTAAATATATAAATTGAAATTAAACTTGAGGATTTTTAGCTGATACGACATTTTTAAATAACAAGTAATTAGAGAGGTAGAACATTTATTAGAGCAAAAGTTCTAAGTACTTATCTAATTAAAAGAACGATRCACCGATGTTTTTTTATACAATTGCTTTAAAATATCATTCGTAGATAGTATTTCAATTGTAAATATTCAACTATCGTTTGATTATATAAGTACATATTGAACTGGAAATTATAGTAGGAAGTGCGGGTATATCTTATAAAAAGAATAAACGTGGATAAAATGACTTTTAAGTTTTAATTTATTATTACTGTACACAGTATATAAATATAAGTTATATTTGTATTATGTGATTTCGTTTWTATTGAATTATAATATGTTTATCGATATTATAAGATTTATTTTTTATCATTTCAATAAAGCTTATTTCATATTGAACTACAACGCCTATAATTAAAAATTAAAGGTAGCATCATTTATATTATAATATAACTTATGAAAATAACGAACGTCGTACATTTCTATAGATTTGTCTAAACATCAATCATATTACGCTTGTAAAAGATGACATAATATAATTGCTATTACGTACAATACTATATAGTTTAACAGTAGGTAAAAAGAGCTAATATTAGAAAAAATACCAATGTTTGGCCGAATAGAACGAACTCGTTTACGTGTGTACAGTTTACTGTATATTAAATAGTATATATTATCTATAGTATGTTATAATATTATGTAGCCAACACAAATCTGTGACGATGGGGGGGGGAGCTTAATAATAATAATTATTTTCGTTGGGCGCGGCTTAAGTCCGAATAAGTTACGGTGACGCGGACSGACGAAACGGGAGACCGTCGACCAAACAGGTAGGTGTAAGCCGCGGGCAGTTCGATTTTATCCTTTCCGCTTTCGTGCTTATCAACAATRACCCACACGATCGCTGGCTACCACATTACATTTTATAGTATACTATATGGGTACACCTCTAGTCTCTACTATAAACCACCGTTGTAATGATACAATGTTATAGTGTTYGATACCTAACCGTAATATTATACTCCAATATTATATAGGTAAATAGT